TTTAACATTCATCTTTGAATTTTCTCAAGAAAATCCTACTGTATTGAAGGATTGCGGCCCTGTGTTCATTGGATAAGACTTTGCCTTTTAACCATTGAGTCACTTGTCCAAATCCCTCTTATCGTGCCATGTTTTCAGCAGCTGGTTAGCTTCCTCAGCCCTCGTACTTTACGTGTAGCTTATTACAGAATGCATAAATAGATGTTTATTAGTTTTTGTTGATAGGTTAGTGTGTACGTTGAACCTGTATAGGTCATGATTAAAAGGTGATCACTGGTACATCATTTTGTTTTACAACCACTTGTCTAACTCTGTCGTATACTATGATACTAAATAATGTTTACCCTGTATTTTATACACAGAGCGATCATTTTTGTAAATAAATGTCACTCCAAAAACTCTCTGATTAAACGACATAGTGTCGGTTAAAGTGATAGAAAATTGTGGTTTTCAACGATCTTCGCAGTAGTGGTTCCAGACGCCTGAATGTATACTGCGTGTAAATATTAGTTATAGGATAAAAGTCCTACTACAAAGTTTTGAAAAAACCACTTGTTCTCAAAAAGTTTTATGTTGAAATACTCTGTGGTAATGCGTAGATCACTTACCTTATCATGATATTGTTTGAAATTACTCGTGTTATGTTTGTTCTCTGTCAGTTCATAGTGTAACATATCGTTCTTTTCCAGGCATAACAAGGACACTTTGTCAATTTTTTGCTTGCTGCTTCCACAAGTCCTATTTTTGTCGTGCATTTTCCTATATTTGGTGATACTAATATTCTTCAAATGGATCGCGTATACTGCAGAAACAGCATCTTCAGCACCAAGTCTTCTTATCGGTAAGCATCACTTCTACACTTGTTTATCTGTGTTGCTGGTAGTAATATATGGGTACTAAAAAGGGTATCGTATTCCACGTAAAAAGCTTCTATTGTCCTTTTGTAAGATTAAGCTACGTAAACCAGTCTAGTCGGAAATTTCTAAGGAAGCTGCAACTTCTGAAAAGTATGAATAGAGCGTAAATTTCCTGTGACTTTCAAGTATGTTTAGTTAGCTAACGTTGTGATGTTTGAGGTTTAAATTTTCGGTCTTTTACCTCGACCCTACGATTTTAAGTAATCTTCAGCCGATGGAAATATAAAACCTAAGTAAGCATCGTGATTTCCATTCATTATTCTCCCGTATTTGTTGTCGTTAGAACCCAGTTACCTGGGAATATCTATTTCATCAGGCTATAAATCACACCTGCGTGTGGGTTGACTCTAGGATCCACTTGTTTAGGTTGTTGTAGGTGAAATAGGATTCGAACCTTAAATCCATTGACTCAAAGTTGAGTGTCTATACGAAGGAGTTACATCTCTGCCTTACCACAATTATGCTGTTTTCAGAGTTATTTTGTGGTTAAGAATAATCTTTGAAACAGTTTATCTTGGCACTTTACGCATCCACTTCATCGTTTACAGTGTAATGAAATGAAATCACAACTTGGGAAATCATAAGCAGCATTCAGAGAATTTTGGGTGTGCTTTAATACTGATCCCTTCAAATGCAAAGCAGTTGTTTTGGCAAGTTGCGAAGCCCTTTCAGTTATCTTATTTTCTCTGTTGCGGACGCCGCTCAATATACGATTTTCTTTATCGCACCATTTCACTGTGTGATAATGGCATCTTGCTTGACCTTTGGACTACCGAAGTACCATCTCCCATCAATCACGTTGTATTGAATTACTTTTTTGGTTTTCGTTTCAGTCAAATGATAATGTCCTGAAGTCACGTTATTTACACATATTTTTAAAATCTTTCGAATGTATTGCTCTGTGTTTTCTCATAAAATGAAGAAATATTGTGAATCGGAACAAGCAATAAAGCATCAAGCATATGACTTTCGATTGTTATTCATCCATTGAGTTCCGAGTGGAACACAAGGCTTCATCAGCACACATCCATTTCACTGTGTTCTCTGCGATCTTTTTTAACCGGCTTCGCGATCGCCCATTGACTTTCATCTCCTCCATGCCACTTTTGGACGCCAAACTCGTCGTTTTCCATTTGGGTTCCACTCAAGGTCATGTTACATGACGTCACTTGATGGTCTCATCAGCGCATCTTCATTTCCTTTGGTATACTTGTTGAACAAAAGGTCCGCTCATTAATATAGTCCCTTGTTCCTAATCTCTGGCTAGCCATCTGATCTTCAGTGTGTGTTAAAGACAGCTGTTGATGAAGTCTGTAACCCGTTGGGAATACTTTTCCTGATGTGTATGTAAAGTGAAAGCTCAGGTTGGACATTAGTGTCGAAGATCCGGATCTTGTTCCTTATACTGGGTGCAGATTTCCGCATTGATTTTAGGGTAATGGAGAACTGTCTTGCTTTTCCATTTCTGCTTTTGACATCTGTTCCGCCTGTTTCTAGTGCTTTGAATGTGAGATTTTAACATTAGACTATTGAGACAACAAGTTACTAACTGTTGCGCTTTAACGTATATGTAAAACACAAAATTTAGTTTCTGGGTTTCTTCATCGTCTGCTGAAATCTAATCTCAAATTGCGCTACACTACAATGTGATATTACTCAGTCCATTTCAGTCTATTTTGAAATTTTAATAAGGTCCGGTTGTCAATGATGTAGTTTCATTAGAATTTGTGCTCACTTGTGCAGTGAAATATAAAAATTCAGTCGTATCCTGTATAGCACAGTTTTGTGTGAGGAAAGAACTAGGGAACATATACTGTCTGCAGATACATATCTGCTTATTTCTAGCAGTCACTTATGCTTTATTATCGTCTACATTAACATATCTATTACCGCACCTTCTGTGGCGTTCTATTTCGGCTTTGTTTGAATAGGGAGTGAGATTGTAGCAATATGAAAGTCCTGAAACTTCCATTCTGCACAAAATTATTCTTTGGAACTGAGTTGATTATCACAATAATAGTTATTATTATTGTTAAAAGATTTAGGGTAGATGTGGTGACAGAACTTCTGTATGTCACCACCGCTAAGTGTTTGTTTACTTTCATAAAGTGTGCTTATGATAAAAAATTTCATAGAGGTGTTGTGGTCTTGTTGTATCTTTTCCGTTGGTACCCAGAGGATTGAAATTCACACTATGAGAAGGCTTGATTAAATATTTCGCGTACAAGTGTATCAGTGTCAGTCATTTAGCATGCTGTATGATATAGAGAAAAAATTCAATATTTCATTCCCGACTCTATCGGTCAAAATGCGATTACATATATGAGTGATACAACCTTAGTTTGTGCGATAGTGTGAGTGCTTCATACTTCAATCTTTGTCCGGGATAGAGCATGGAAACTAATATTCAGCTATCAGAGCCAAATCAGTTTTTGTGGTTTGAGTTGTTAGTAAGACTAATACTTCCCTACGTGAAGGAACTGCCTCAATTATCAGAAATATAAACAGGTTTCTTATATCCTTTTTTATCACGAAGTGTGTATATAAAATGTTTGTATTGTGCTAATATTCAGTAATGGGGCATCAGAATCAGAAGGTTGTGGCGTTTAAAGACGAAAGATAACTACTGATAAGGTTATTTCCCATGCCTTGCTTTACCACATGGTATACCATATGGTGACATGCCATAGTGTCTATTACTTAAGAAGCACCATAGTGTTTTACTGTTTCAGTAGAGAGATTTCAGAGTTATTATAACATAAACATCTAGACGAGAGGTCTGTCTTTTGCGTGCTTTCATTAGTCATTTTGTTATTGTGTACACAGATATTTTGGTGAACATATTCCCTGTAAGCTGCCTTCATTGGTTGGAAGGCATCTAAATGTATCTCTCCAATAATGATTGTTACGCTTATACAGCAAGATGTAGTCCATGTTTTTGTCTTCACTAACTATTTTGAACTGCACCGAATCTGCGCCAATACTTTGACCAGTTGTGTTTGCTGTGTAATACGTTAACTTTTTGGTTTGAAAGTTTCTGGATACAGCATCTGAATCTTGATTTTATCAATTCTCTCAGGCAATTTATTTGACTACTTATGAATCGCTCGTGGCGTGTTTTATTATTTTTTTCTTCAATTTAAGCTAATATGAATTATTATTTCTTGATATTTATTTTGTCCACTTAGGATTAATCAACATGATCCGTTTCAGTTATCCTGAAGATATCCCATCTTTGTATGCAGGGCAGGTTAGTTCATAATTCTTCGCTTGGTTATTTGATGACGTTACTTAATAGCTGCTGCACACCGGTGCAAAGTTCTATATTGAAACCAGACAGGTAGACAGACGTTACTTAATATAATATACTAGAATCACTAATAACTGTGACTGATGACTCATTTTTCTCGTTACAAATCAGTCATATCCATCCTTTTGACGTTTTCTTAATGAAGCTCATTGGTTGAAACTTGAATTTCGAATATAATCGTGAGGTGTTCACGCTTCTCGAGAATTAACAGCGAATCATTTTTCCCCCACGTATACGGAAAGCTTTTATTGGTTCCCACAGTTATTCATTAATAAGTTCATTTATTTGTTCCATAACATTGGTGTGTCGAAATTGTGATATGTGTAACTTGTTTCCCATTATACTATAGAGAACAGATTTCAGGTGTTTTCCGTTGATATAATATACATGAACTTTCTATACCTAAATGCTTCCTGTTATTCTTTTGTTAATTTTAGCAAGCCGTTCAAAGTCTTCTGATGATTATCGCAGTTATATGTGTTCCTTGGATGTTGCTGTCGAAACCACTGATTTTATACATGCGTCATCGCGCAATAATGAAGGTAATTTTACATTCATAATTTCCGTTAGTCAGTCGAATTTGAAGGAAACACAAAAAAATATGCACCATGCCAAATTTTCATTTTTCATTCAACCAGCTTCACTGAACACTTTCAACAATAAGAGAGCCAATATATATTTGCAGGGTTAATAAGGGTTCACTTTCAATTTCACGGCTTTTCATCAACTGCTAGCAGCCTAAAAAGTGGCAAGTCATTGTAAATCCAAACTTATATAACTTCAGATGTAATCGTGATTTGTAGATCAGGTGGATGAATTTGATGCAGTTGTGTTCTCTGACCTAGATAGTTTACTTGCGAAGCTTTCATCACTGCCTCACTAAGCAACATCTCCAGCGCATACTTCAATTTGAAGTGAGCTTTTAGGTTTATTTACGAGTTTACTAGTCATTTCTCCTGGAGACCTTGGACGTGTATGTTCCCCTTTCCATGACTACAGTGCACCAAGAAGGCTGAAGAGCTACCCTAAGATGAAGATGCATACATTAAATCCTAACCAAAGATTAGACAGTCACATCCAAAGAACCATAAACAAGCTCACCAAAATAGGTCAGATCACAAAAGAAGATCCAATGAACCAGTTCTACGCTGATTCTGATTCTACAGCAGACCTAAAATACACAAAGCAAACATTCCATTGCAACCAATTGTATAACTCCCGACATACAACTTATCCAAAGAACTATACAGAAAATCGAAACTCAAAAGAATTCTGCGATCATTCCTCAAATCTGCAACCCAATTTCTAGAGCGAATAAGAAAACGAATAGATAACCAAGCAATAATGATATCCTTCGATGTCACGGCACTATGTACATCAAATGGACAGAAATCGGTAAAAGAAACGAAGGAGAAACTATGCAACAGACAAGTTGGATGAAATGCATAAACCTATGTTTAACAACGTATTTTCAATTCAACCGCCAAATATACGAACAAATTAAAGCGATACCTATTGGATCGTCCATTTCAGGTCTGGTCGCATAAGCTGTGATGCAAAGATTTGAAAACGTAATCCTACTTGATATCAAACCCGAAATTTGATTACTACGTGGATTACACATTCGTAATAAGCAAAAGAAACGACTTAGACAAAACTTACAACCTAATAAACAACATCAAATTCCCAAAAGAGGAGAAATCCGAAAACAAAATTCCATTTTCGAACGACAGGCGAACAACCGCAGGAAAATCAGAAACTCACGTTTACAGAAAATTAACCCACACAGATCAAATACTCAGTTACAAGAGCAACAACCCAATAACGCACAAATGTTGCATGCAAACATTATTCAAGAGAGCCAAGACTCACTATAGCACTCCTACCCTAAGAAAAATTGAGGGAAAATATCTCATGGACGTCTTCCGAAAGAAAGGATATTCACGAAGCTTCATCAAAAGACATCTACCCCCAAGTCAATAAACCCTAAGGGAAACATAAAGAAAATCATCTTACCATATACAAGGGACGTCTCAGAAATCACTGCAAGACTCCTCAAACATTTAGTAATTAATGTAGCACACATACCAACAAAATCACTACACTCTGATCTGTGTCAAACAAAAGACTCAACAGAGAGAGAAGATAAAACCAACATCATCTACAAAATAAGTTGCAATGACTGTGAAAAAAAAACATTGGCCAAAGTGGACGTCCCCTTCGTCTTCTCATCCATTATTTAAACTATCATACCTGTTTTTTCCCGGTAGTATATACTGCGGTGATCTCAGTGTAGTTAACTCAATAATATATGAGACTGAATGTGAATCATGTATTCCATTCACTTTTATGACGTAGATGACCGTAGTAAACTACAAAAAAATATATTTGATTGACTTATGCTTCACTGTGCTTCTTGGACTCAATTCTTAGCAAACTATAAGTAACAATTGCTACTTCGTAGTGTACACAGTTTATTACTTTCTCAAGCCTCAGGAAAACAAGTTTGACCGTGTTACTGCCTAATTTCAGTCGATCAGTGTTGCTTGAGAAGAAAAATAAATTGCAACCAACATTCAGGTTACGTACCAATCCGTATATTAATCATGCATTTTTAAAATTTCATTCGCATTTTATTTTGTACTTTGTAAAATATTTAATTTGATTATGTGAGTGTAGAATAGACATTATGTGGAACCCGATTCAAGTGTACGTGTAATAGTTGGTGGTGTAGCAAATCCAAGTTTGGATGAAACTTTTGGCGGTGATAATGGAATTATGTACAGTGATATGTCTCCATTACATAGGTCTTCTCAAAACCAGTCTAAGATTTCATTGGTTAGTGAGACAGCAGATTCTCCAGGTACTCATAATGCTGATAAGGTGAGAAATTAAGTATTTTGTTATTATTTTGTTTTCTTAAACTTTTCTTTTATGTTTTTGTTACCCGTACAATCTGTGTGTGAACAACTTGCTTTTGCGAAAATTGCTTGAAACAAATCCTATCTTGAGGCTCGTGGCCCTGTCGATCATCCAGAGGTATCAACTAAATCCTCGGAGAAAATTACGTTAGATGGAGATGTTAATGGTGTAGGTTCTGTGGACATACCTGTAGAGGCTGTAAGTACTGATTGACGTGCACTAACAGAAGATCAATGTTGTGTTAACTTCGTTGTAACTCTTACACGTGTCCTTGTTGTTGTTATTTGCAGTAAATAATCTCATGATTGTTCGTATAATTGGTGTAATTGGATGGTAGAACTTGTGTTCCCCTTGTTATTGAGATGTTCATATAGGTGACTTTTTCAAGTTATAAAGCATGTAGCCCAATAGGATTTGATTTAATAATATTTTATTATCATATCTCACTTATAATCTAGTCAACAGCAATTGTCTAACTGTCTTCTAAGCACGTAGTCTATAATTATCTGCTAATAACAAGTTTTCGTTCACACTCCATTTATCTCTGTTCGTGTAAAGTCCTTCAAATACTGAAGGGTTCATTTCAGCGTATATCGTTTTACAAAATCCTTGTGTATGATATTTTACTAGAATGTGTTAATGTATGTTCACTTAATACGTGTCGAAAATAAGTTACAAATCAATATATTTTATATAACACTTTCTATGCATTACCAGCTTAACATATTAAAGGGTTTAGTTGTTGTTGTTGTTGTTGTGTAACTGTCGTTTGTGTAATCTGAATTTATCAGTTCTCATATCTAGCTATTTCGTAATTCATTTTATTTTGTTTACTGTTTTAGTTTGATTTTGGAGATATTATGGTTCATCAGAGCATTCATACGATTGAATATTGCTTGGGTTGCATTTCTAACACGGCATCCTATCTTCGTTTATGGGCGTTAAGCTTAGCACATGCACGTGAGTAAAGAAGCCAATATTTATTCTTTGGTGTTTTCTGTACCTTCCGCAGTTGCTGCGCAGTGTAGTTAAACAGTGTTCTAAACCATCCTCCACATGTGTTTGCAGTCCGGTGCATTCCACTGTACATGGCGTTGTTTATTTTGCCTCTTATCTCCACGATGGTGTCTAACCTATAGTGTATAGACTCTTATTTAGAAAGATATGATCTGTCAATGACTTGAAGTACTAATCATTTATTGCTCCAACTTGATCCATTGGCGCTGGTAGAACTTGACCTAGGACACTTAGTGTGCTCACATGAGAACATGCTAATTATCTACTACTGTTTAAGTCACATTTGTCAGAGTAGGTCATGCGGTTTGATGAATATTACAGTGCACCATATGACTTTTAGACCCTGAGTATTATGATTCAGTCTTAGTGTATTAAGATACATTTGTATCATTATGATATAGCTTAGGTAGTAGTGGTGCTGAAAGCGACTAATAACCTTAATTGAATGCTGAATACGATTCTTTTCCCAAAGTACTACCTATCTTGATGGGCCTCGAAAACTAACATATAACTAAAAGAACCTCAGCAATAGACAAATATACGATAACTATATATATATATATATATATATATATATATATATATATAATTTTCGACATTCTAAGTCATTTTGAAAAGTACTTTAAAACAAACTGCCATTTTTTTCTTCAACAGAACTGTCGGAGGTACTTTGGAGTATGGTGATGAAGTTGGGATTAAGTATGCCCGGTCTGTATGGGGGAGTTGTATTAGCTTTTATTTTTGCTTTCTGGGCATTGCTGACTGTTAGCATTCTGTTGTGTATGGAAGGACTATCTGCGTTTCTTCACACATTGCGTCTTCATTGGTGAGTTGTTAATTTCATGTAGTACTTTGTAAACTCATACTCCTTAAATGCGAATTCTTGTAATAATTTCTGTATATCTATGTGTATTGTGTAGCATTGAGTGCTAGTCACTTCGGTACTACGTTAAATCCTCGTAAGTTTACATTAAATACGTTTTTTATTTTTACCAGGAAAGATTGTAAGATATCTGTCAATAATAAAGTATTTTATAAATGTATATATCACCCAAAATTGCTTCTTCGTTTTTCACAGGGTGGAGTTTCAAAATAAATTCTACAGTGGTGATGGTTATCCTTTCGTTCCCTTTTCCTTCGAAAATTCCATCACTTCAGCAGATAACTGATATCTTAACCATATTTATCACTCATATCTTTTATTTGAATTCCGTCCTACATGGACTTGACAGTCCTTCGAAATTGTGATATTTTATCTAAATATCTCAACTGTTGTGATTGTGATGCATAATATTTAATCGTTATTTAATGATTAATGGCAATTCTTCGGCTTTCGTGAAATTAATTGATAATTAATAATTTTACTTCACTTATCTCATTTGACTTTAATTTGACTGTGTCATTTCATTTGTTAAAAAATGACTTGGTTCTTCGTTATTTTTTCCTCCCTCTATACCTTACGCTAACTAATAAACCATGATATACGCATCAGTGGACTTTTTTTTACTAAACGACAGGTTGTACTTGTTCTGCAAGGAACTATTCCCATGTCTGTGGAGCATGAGCTTGTGGTGGGTATTTCATTGAACCACTGACTGACTGAGTTTTCAACAGTGAACTTTGGAAAATAATGTGCAGCACATAGAGCACACATAAATGTAGAGGGAAAAAAGTGCGAGGGAGCTATGATGAACGTAAATGTATGAGAAAACGTATCACTATTAAATGAGAATTCTAACTATTTTACAACGTAATCCTATGTTGGCTGACACTTCCAGACATGATAGGCGAATACCATGGCATATATAATGTGTCGTAACCACGTAATTTCATCACCTTGTCGATTGGCTTCGCCTTACGTTTTGATTAATGCGATATACTTTTTGGCACTCCCTTGACCGCCAGATATTGCCATGATCCCTGTCGGTCGATGGAGTCTGTCGCCACCTTCAGGTAAAGAAATATGGCAAGTATTAGATGCCGATAAGTATCTCTATGTTTCAGGATGTGTCTAAGTGTTTCCCCTGAGTGGCGCTTAGCTTACGCATCATCATTGAACATTAAACTTTCGATACTATAATAACCAAGGTAATTCCCCCTTTTTATAAACTGGGACTTTGTCATATTCCCACGCATCACATAATATCTTAGTTAACCAAGTCAATAGCTCATCAGCAGCATCGTTTAATACTTCTGGAATTATAAAGTCACATCCTGTTGCTTTATCTTGTTCTAGATTGGGAACAGTTGTTGCAACCTAGGTTGTATTTAGATGGTATCATTCAGGTAGGTGTTGGACAAGTAAGGTTTCAGATCAGCTCCCCAGAGTGTCTTAAGTCGTATTGAAACTATCACTTCTTCAAAATTGTTTCACTTAATGTTGGCTTTTTACGGTCCGTTTCTCTTATGATTCTAAATAATTGTTTAGTGTTGCTATCTATGCCTTCTTCTTCCCTTACTTTTGTCGCTCACCAATTTGCATGGTCTCTGCAAAGATTTGGAAATCTTGAGATGCATAAGGTGAAGAAACATATATGAAATGCTAAATTAAAGATAGGATTTGTATCGTGTTTCCAAATTGTGTTAGTATGCACGGAAACCACTGTGTCCTTTTGCACCTTCCAAATATCTTACGAAGTTTTCGGTTGAGGTGCCGTGGTATTCTGAAAAACTGAGCCTCATTTAAACTCTCATGTAGGAGGGTTTGTTTGTGCATAATAAAAAGCGATGGTGTGATGAAATAAGTTTTAGAAACGTTTCAGAAATATCAAGAAATGAAGTTGCCATTTTCTAAATTTCATGTCTCGTCGTTACAATTGATTTCCTTACGAATATAACTGTTTTCAATTAGAAATACGTGATTTTAATAGAAAAAAACAAAGTATAATGTTATTAAGGTAATAGAATTCAGTGAAGTGTAAACGGTGAATGAACTTTTAGCTAAATGGTCAAATTTGAATAAATGTTACATATAAGCCACATGAAAATAAAGAAAATTATGATACTGGTTACCATTATCATTTAAATTACAAGTGAGTTTGGTGCAATGTTATTAACCTTGACATACTTTTTCGCTCACCACGTACACATCATTTACCAAGCATAAGCTACAAGTAATTTTGCATGAGTGTTCAATACCTTTTTCATTATTATAATTTGATGTAGATACTCAAGTCACATTAGATGATCGACTGTTTGTTCACTTCTAACTAAATTGCGAAGCGTCATATATTTCGTGCGCTTAATGTGCGTCGGTGGCACAGTGGTTAGGACTCTCGCCGACCATGCACATGGTCTGGGGTTCGATCCCCTGCCGGCGCACACCCGATATCTATGGTCGGCCTGTAAATTTGGGCTACCGATATCCATGCTGAAAATTCCATACTTGTACTGAAAATACGGTGTGGAATCAAGCTGTAATCAAAATAAAATAAAAATGATATACATGAATAACTCTATGGGGACAACTTTTTCAGAATAAGACGGATTTATCTTATTTCACAGGGTTTTTCTTAGCTGCTTGAATGATAAGATATAGAAGTAATCTTGAAATAACTGATAGGATTTGTAGCTCTAGGTAGATGATTTTGATTTAGTTGTGCTCTATGGGCTGGTTAGTTTAATTCAGCGACTGTCGTTGTCCTAGACAACATCTCCAGTGCAAGTTTTAGTATGAGGTGAACTTGAAATCTCCATGCATGATATGATTGTATCTCCTTTATTGTTACTTATTTTTCAACATAAGGCTTCAAGCTTGAGCTTTGAAGATTCAGCAGGAATGGTGTTTCATTCTGCTAAGTATGGTTGTAAGTCGCACACTGAACCTTCCTTGTTTTCGTCGATCTAACTACTGGCTGAGCGATGTTTTTAGTAGTGAGTCGAACCTGGGACCCCCTGCGAGGTTGGCGAGTGTTCTGCCACTGAACCACCGACGCATATACATATATATAATCACTGTGGAATAAGTAATTTATTTGTATTATTATATTACCGTTTCCTAGAGGAACATAGGGTTTCAGCCGCACGTCTCCATTGCGTTCGGTTCTCTGCCAACATGTTCAACTGGTTTCACGCTGTCCACATGCTTTCATCTCTTCGCATGACCTCCTCCATTTCACCCTCGCACTGACGATCAACTTGCTGCTTCCCGTTCGAGTTCCACTCGAGAGTCTGGTGTGTGATGTCACTTGATGGTTTTCTCAGAGTATGGCCAATCCATCTCCATTTCTTTCTGCATATTTGTTGCACAATCGGTTCCTGGTTGGTTCGCTCCCAGAGATCCCTCCCTGTCGCTGATCTTTTCTGGCCATCTAATCTTGAGTATTAAGGGAAGACAGTTGTTGATGAAGGTTTGTAGTTTGTTCGAATTGCCCTTCGTGATATGCCAAGTCTCTGATCCGTATAGTTTACTATACTTCACTTGGAGTTGAAAATCTGGATTTTATTTTTCATGCTGAGTGCTGTTGATCTCCATACAGACTTGAGAGTAATGAAAGCTTGCCTTGCTTTCCCGATCCTCCAACTTTGATATCCTCATTTCCGTTCACCTGTAGTTGAGATGATGCTTCCCATGTAGGTGGGTAGGTAAAGGAGATTGCTACTTTCGGATTTCTCCCATTTATGCTGATTGTCGTTGTTGCTGTTGGCCAGGAATCTTCGTCACCTCTGTTTTCTCTATGTTCACCTGAAGAGAATTCCTATCTTTGATGCTTCTTCTGCCAACTTGTTGCTCTACACTTGCATATCTTCCAGTTTGTGTGAAATCAGATATACGTCATTCCCGAAGTCCCGATCCTCCAATTTTTTTGTGTGGGACCATTTTATGCCTATTTCCTCTCTGTCTGTCGCACTATCCAGTGTACCGCAATCAGGAAGATAGTAGGCAGCCTTATCTTACTCCCGTCTTCACTGCAAAGGATTCCGTGAGTTTCCTGTTGTGGATTAATTGGCACGCAGTATTGTTGCACAACTGTTGGATGAGGTGGACAATTGTTGGCGGTACCCCGTAGTAGCGAAGTAGTTGCCAAATCACCCATCGATCGACGCTGTCGAAGGCCTTTTCAGTCAATGAAGTTGAAAGTGGTAAAGAGTTGACTGCCATTCCAAGCTCTGTTCAATGATAATCCGTAGTGTTGCGATTTGATCGATGCATGCCTTGCTGCTCCTGAATCCAGTCTGTTCCGGTGGAAGTTTTTCATCCAGGTCGTGTTTGATTCTCTCCAGGATGATGCGGCTTAGTATTTTGCTTACGATGGACAGGAGCATAATGCCACTAGTTCTTGCATTGACTTAAGTCCCCTTTCTTTGGCAGTTTAAATAGGTAGCCTTTCTTCCAATCCTCAGGTACCTTGCCCTCTTTCCACACCTTTTCTAGTAGTGGTATTATCAAGTCCGCTGATGTCTCTGGGTCCATTTTCAAGGCTTCTGCAGGAATTCCGTCTGGTCTCACTGCTTCCGTAGTTTTTAGTGGCCTTCAGGATTTCTGTTTTCGTCGGAGGGTTGGTATCCACTGGTAGTTGTGCTTCCGCTGATGGTATTATTGGGCTCGTAGGTGGTGGTCGATTAAGTAGTCTTTTAAAGTGTTCAGCCCAGTGTTTCCTTTGCTCCACCTCTTTGACTGACTTCCTATTGTCATCCTTCACTGGCTTAATTTGTGTTGATCTTTCCCCTGATATGAACGTAGTTGTTTGGTAGAGTGTTGTGAGGTCTCCTTTGCCTGCAGCTTGTTCTGTTTCACTTGCCAAAGCTTCGTAATATTGTCTTTTGTCTTCCCTAGCACTTTTGTTCGGTGTCTTGTAGTTTGCATTCCAATCCTGTTTTTGTTGCTCGTCGATGCACTGGATAATCTTTTGTTTCACCATCCTTCTCTCTTCTATTAGTCTCCATGTGTCCATAGTGAGCCATTGTTTGTCCTGTCTCTTCTTTCTGCCTAGAACTTCATCGCAAGTTTGACTCCACACCGCTTTCAGGTTGTTCTAGTGCTTTTCGACTCTGGTCTCTTCGCTAGTGTACATTTGTGTCTCCACCCTTTTCTTTATCATTGCAGTGAAGATGTCCTTTGTGGCCTGATTCTTCAGTTTTTGAGTATTGAACTTGGTTTGTGGTCTATCTACAGCCTATGTTTCTTTGAAAGCTTTTAATTTGATTTGGAGTGTTCCTTGTACGAGAT